AATATTTTATGTCTCACAAATAATATTCCTTTATTGCGAGTAATAAGAAACAGTGGTAGTATAAATTATACAAGCATATCGCTGGAAAAAGATTGGAGTATAATGTTGAAGAATAAACCTCTCAAGTGTCACCACATGTAAGTGTCCCACATTGGTTGAAGAAGAGAGAGTTAAACACTTTATAAGGCTAAGGGGCTACTCCTCCTATTGCCATATGGTTTTGGGATGGAACCTCCTTGGACTTGTGAAGTGGACTCTCTCTCTTAATTTGCGGGTGCGGCCCAGACCGCGTTTGACATATAATTTTGTATTATTGTACACCGTATTATATTAAAGAAAGAACGAGCGTTATAAAAATAAGTAAAATAAAGATAAACTCCGTTACTAAATACATGCGCCTGCAGAATATGACCGCCGACCAGCTACATATACCAGCCTGGTTCGGTGCCCTGCCCAGTACGTGGATTATTTTCGTATCTTTTCTAATGTTTTTATTTTTTATTTATTATTACAGAAATATTTAATAAATTAATGTAGCATGACTAATATCGTGTGATGTATATAATTGGTCAAAACTTGTTTTTAAATAATGCTTGCTATAAAAAGAATCTTATGATTCTTAATTTTATTATAGATTTGTGGCAGCCAAAGACACGCAACGTTAGCAGATCGTATATATGTGTAGGAGATCGTATATATGTAGCCAATGTAGGAGATTGCAAATTTGCAATAAGGGATCAACCGGCAATTAACAACCAACAGTGTACATTAAGGCCCTGTTCTCTTCACCTTAAAATACGAGGTAATATTAACTAAAAATAATTTCAATTTGGTAAAAATAAGTTTAATTTAGTAAAATTAATTTTATTTCAGTAAAAATAATTTAAGTTCAGTAAAAATCAGTTTTCTTAAAGAAGAATTATAATATAAAATCAGTAATAATAATTTCAGTTCAGCAAAATAATTTCAGTTCAGTAAAATTGATTTAAGTTTAGTAAAAATAATTTAAGTTCAACAAAAATAATTTCAGTTAAGTAAAAATAATTTTAGTTCAACAAAATTAAGGTGAAGAGAACTGGGCCTTACATCTATCCATGTTAGAGCGATATATCATTATCGGTATATATAATATTGAGGTCGTGTCCATAAACCAAGGATAAGAATTATAAGTACCAGGAATAGATAATACTCTGTAATAAATTTATACGGAGTAACTTAGGGCTTGTTCACTTCAGTTCAGTTCAGTTCAGTTCAGCTCCTAATTTCCTTGTCTCATAACATATTTATTTCAACTCTATTAAATTCAACTCTAATCTAATCAGTTCAGTAAATTTGAACAAGTCGTTATTAGAAAAAATACCGATAAAAAATACTCATATATAATTTTGATTGTTTTAGCAGGTCCTAAGTATAGCTGTCAATTCGGGTAAACGGATCGGGTTTTGGTCAAGTAAGAGTGGATCGGGTCGGGTTTGGGTTAGGTCATGCTTGAGTCGGGTCACGTCGGGTCATACTTCTGATCGGGTTTGGGTCGAGTTTAGGTAGGAATAATAACAGGTCGGGTTACATTCGGGTCGGGTGAATAATAGATCGGGTTTAATTCGGGTTAAGACGGGTTAGGGTAATTTCGGGGTTCGAGTCGGGTTTGGTTCAAGTCAATAATTTGCGGGTTATAATCAAGTCGGGTCATTCTCGGGTTCAAGTCGGATTCGGTTCAAGTCCATAATCTGCAGGTAATAATCAGGTTGGGTCATTTTCAAGTCGGGTCATTCTCGGAGTCAAGTCGGGTTATGTTCAAGTCAATAATTTGCAGGTTACGATCAAGTCAGGTCATATTTGGGTTCAACTAGCTATACATAGATAATTATCATTTTTATCAAGCTAATTATTTCCTTTGACTATAATATAAATGGCAATATACTAGAGAACTATATTTTATCATTTAGGAAGATAATTATCACTTTTGACCGTACACCAAATATATACTATACTTAACTCTTAAATTTGAGGATGATACTCCTTTCTTTTGCTGGCCTGGATCGACTAGGTCTCCCTAGACAAAATGCTTTGATCAACAATAATAAGGTGGTCTAAATTGCATTTAAAGTGATTTGATATTGGGTTAAGAACAATTTGGGTTGAATTTAAGTCAGGACAATAACAAGTCGTGTTGAATTTGAGTCGGGTTAGTAACAGATCGAATTGAATTATTGGGTCAGGTTAGTAATAGGTCTGGTAAAATTCGAGTCGGGTCAATAACAAGTCGGGTTGAATTTGGGTCAGTTCAATAACAAGTCGGGTTGATTCCGGGTCAGATTTGTAACAGGTTGGGTTAAATTCGGGTCGGGTTAGGAACGGGTTGGCTTGAATTCATGTCAGGTTAATAACAAGTCGGGTTAAATTCGGGTTAAAACGGCTTCGGGTCAATTTCGCTTCAAGTCGGGTTCGGTGCAAGTTAATTAAATTGGTCGTTGTAAACCGGTAAATCGGTGCAAGTTGTAAACCGGTAAATTAGTCGTTTAAAGGCAAATTGGATGGTTCCACCTAGCCAATTAGACTCCCTAAGAGTATTAGGGACCATGTTAAACATTTCAGTAATTATTTCCGGGTGAAAAAAAGTCAAAAAATTCAAAAATTAAAGACTAATATCCACACTTTTTGAGAAATTTTGAAGGTTTCGGCCCTTAAGAATGCTTGGTTCATTTTAACACTATAGGGAGTATATTCACAATGTCCAATTTTTTATTTTTTTTTAATAATTATTGATTACACTTATTTTTTTTTTATTAATTATTTTTTAAAAATAATTTAATCTTGCCTGGCCTTTTCCCTTAATCCATAAAATATACCTTTATGTTTCCTCTTTTTAGCTGTTTGGCGGATCTCTATAGTAGAGCAAAACTGCAAATGGGTTACTTTTAATCACAAGTCAATAATAAATGATTGCTTAGTTTGAATGTCTGTCCATTTGTTAAAGGATATAGATATTGTTTGCTTAGCTGTATCCATTTTTATGTGACATGCTAAATATCAGTACTAAATTATCACCTACTCGTGTTCTTTTGAAGAGAATTTAAACTTTACAAGTCGGTAACGAAAGCAATTGTATTGGGCCGACAACGAAAGCAATTGTATTGGGCCGTCTTCCTTAATTAAGTGGATCATAACAAGCTTTTGGGCCTTTTGTATTGTATCATGCGATTAGATGGACTGATGCAGTCATCTCATTATTCTATTAGATCAAACAAATTTAGAGATTCGTTTAAATTAATTATGAAATAATTGAGTAACACCTAAGACGTGCACCCACGTTGAGAGAAATATATAAGAAGCCGGCACAACTAATCACAGCTTCTACATCTCCACTACGTGCATTTTGCATCTCCACAACATTTTATTATTTCAACTCTTTCTTTACTTCTCATGATCTCACTTCGACCTCGACCTCGACCTCTACCTATCTAATAATCCATGGCACCCTCGCGTGCCATGATCCTAATCCTCCTTTTTACATTCTCTCTCTTTTCTCCTACGTATACTCAAAGAGTCGTTCCTAAATCACCCCCAAGCCCGCCCCTAGACGATCTAGCACCGGCACCGGCTCCCTCTTCCGATCTATGCAACGGCATTTGGTTATCCTACACTTACCTCTCCGGCAAGAAAATCCACCCTATAAAAAAACTTCCTAAACAACCTTATAGCTTTAAATCCGAGCTTATCATCCTTAACAACGACGAAGTTGCGCTTAAGTCATGGATGGTCTTTGTAGGGTTCCAACATGGTGAGTTACTTGTGTCTGCCTCTAATGTTGTGCTCAATAATGGGTCCAGTCTTCCTGGGTTTGTCGATGAAGGGGCGGTGTTTTCCGGGTACCCGATGGCTAATCTTAAGACCGCGATTCAGACTGCCGGGGACGTAGATCAGATGTCTGTGAGAGTTGAGTTTGAAGGGACTCAATTTGGAGTTAAACCTCCTAGAGTTCCTTTGCCTCATAATATATCTCTTGCTAATGATGGATACATTTGCCCTAAACCTGTTAAAGAAGGTATGTTCTTTTAATTTATCGATATATGCTAACTTTTTTTTGATGTAGACGTGATTTGATCTTATATCTTGATTACTACATACCTCGGTAATGCTAGCGTTGACATCTAATCTAACTATCTATTGGGCGGTAAATATGTTAAATTTTTATTAGTATATGTAGGTTCCTAGCTACATCATATGTACTTATTTAACATAGATTATTAATTAGTTTAATTGGTATAAATTATGTTGGAATTTCTATTATGTTTGACTTTTTCAATGCACGTACCTAGCTAAAAATTGTTTATACTTTCTGTCACAAACCATCTAAAACAATTAAACAAACAAAAAATTCTTATAAAAACATAAAATTCTTACGAAATTGTGATTGACTGATTCATGTATTTGTTAATCACGATTTTGATATCTCATACATGTTCAATTGACAATTGCATGAGCAACGTCTTTGGTCCAAAACAAAATCTTTTCTAGTATATTAATCACCATTAAAACTCATCATAGACTTTTTTTTTTATCAATCCTCATCAACAATAAATTAATATTGAACATGGTTACACATAGAAGTACATGTTTTATACGTACGAGTACTAAAATATGACGAGAAGAAAATGGGAGAAATTTTTCAATAGAATCAAGAGCGAAGTCAAGAAGTTGGTGAAGGCCCAGCCCCCATGGCCCAACCCTCAGCCCGACCCTTCCTTAGTTTTCTAAAGTAGGCTCCAATACATAAAATGTAGCTCTTTAAGACAATTTGGTTAAAGCTTTATTACACGTTTTAAAAAAAAAAACAAAAAAAAACAAGCAAATGGATAGTTTAGGTCTTGGCCCTCCGCTTTCTTGTCAAATCCAATCCAAATACCGAATAAACACCTTATATGGTTGGTTGAAGTCATTTTTTTTTTTATTTTTTTTAACATATTAGAAAAAAAAAAAGTTTAGATTCGACTTCCAATGTTTCAAATCTTGATTTCGTCTTTATTTAATCAGGGGAGTATAAAAGTTTCTTAAACCTTAATGTGAATCATACTCTCGTCTCGACCTTCGAGTACCTAACGGCCCTCCTACCCCCCACAACCAAATGAACGTTTCAATGTTCAACGGCACAATCCACGCCCCCCAAAAGTAAGAAAAAGAAACCAAAGAAAGCGAGTACAAAAGAACATTCGTCTATTCTAATGTAATAAAACCATCACTTTCATTCATCACACTTTCTTACACACAAACAACACCAAATCAAAACACAAAGAAATTCAAATTCAAAAACCACTCCACTTTTTTCAATTCCCAAAATACCCTTTTACTCAATTCACAGCTTGCTTCTACTTCTACTCAGCTGTTACGCGTCTCTCTCTTCACTATTTCTTCCCTCTTTCTCTCTCTTCAAGCTCCAAACCCATTCATCAATGGCGGCCATTACTTCACCCCTTCTTCTTCTCCTTATTTTCTCTCTTCTCTCTCTCTCTTCCGCCCAACCACCCGCCGCACCACCCCCATCTTCCGATACTTGCAACGGTATATACCTAACATACACCTACAACTCCGGCAAAAAACTCCACCCCATCTTCAAAACCCCTTCAAAACAACCTTTTAGCTTCAAATCAACTCTCACAATCATTAATAACGACGAAGTTGAACTCAAATCTTGGAGGGTTTTTGTCGGATTTCAACATAAAGAGGTCTTGGTCTCTGCTTCGAATGCTGTCGCCGCCGCCGGCGCGACTTTTCCGGAGGTTGTCGGAGATGAGGGGGCAATTTTTGGTGGGTACCCACAAGCGGATCTTAAAACTGGGATTCAAACTGCTGGTGATTCTGAACAAACGACTGTTAAAGTTGAATTTCAGGGGACTCAATTTGGGGTTGCTCCTCCTAATGTTCCTTTGCCTACTAATATTTCTCTTGTTAATGATGGTTATAAATGCCCTAAACCTACTAAGGCTGGTATGATTTATTGTTCTCTACTCTTTTTTTTTTTATTTAGATTTTTTGATTATTTTTGGAATTTGTGAGTTGGGTTATGAAATTTGGTTGAGAATTTTTGTGGGGTTTGGTTGTGTTGGACGATCATGAGAGTTTTGGGTTGCTGTAATTTTGAGTAGAAATATTTGGTTTTGCAATTGATTATGATTTCAGATGGATTGTTTAATTGGGTTATTGATGATTTGGGTAATTTAGTCAATCATAGAATGCTAGACTAAGAGTTTGGATGAATGTTTTTATGGGAGAATATTGGAGTTTGGTTGATGAAATGTATGCTTATGACTTTGGGTTAGAAGGTTGTTCTTCTTATTGGAATTCGATTGGGTTATCAAGTTTTGGATTTGAGCATAGTTGAGCAAAGAATGTTAGATTGAAACTTGATGTAATTAGGCACTTATACTTGTTAGAGGTAGGTGGGATCTATGGTGAGATGATATTAATGTAGATTGCTTGCTAATGCTATGATAAATGGTAAGCTATGTAATACATGTAGTAATTTGGTTGTTTTGATGTGTTGGTGGTGATGTTGATGACTATGATATTGACTTCGAAATCGTAAACTTCAGATAATTTAGCTGGTTAATTGACTATCATAAATGGATCCGTTTAGATGAGTGGTTGATCTTTAGCTGATTTTTTTCAAGAACATATCATTTTGGTTTAAATTGGGACAGGAGTAGCATGTTCAAGCAAGTGAATTGAAGTGTAGATTGGTTGAATCTTGAGTACTCTAAAGTCGATAGCTTCTACTCATTTTAACCTTAGTCTTGGCTAGTAGGAATAAGGTTGTACGCATATAGGTTGGACCCATCTTTAGGGCATGGTGGTTGTTATTGTAGATCATTTTTTACTTTGGTTCACTAGAGTGCTACACATATACTAAATTTCAATGCTTATCCAATTCACGGCAATGACCTTGCTCTATTGACTAGCTGAGCTTGGGATTGCATCTAAATGGTGTGTTTTCAGCAATGCTGAGTAATTAATTCCTAGGCAGTGAATACCATTACTACAAATGTTACTAGCTTGCTTTTGATCATATACTCTTTTCAGTCTTTGCTTAGTTTTCTAGGTATGAGTCTTGTGTTAAGCATTACATATCTTCAATTCATGCTTCCCAATGAACAACAAATGTTTTTTCACCTCTGTCTGAACAATGATAATGAAGATGACCTTGCTTTCTTTGAGACGTTACCTTGTACGGAGTACTCTGTATTATTGTAGCATGTACTATGCTCTTTTATAGCCAAGCATACTGTCTCTGCAAAACACTTTGAGTGCTCTCAGCTATTAGTTGCGCAAGATGAACACTACAGACATAATTGGCTCTCTATAAAATGAAAACCTTGATCCTGAACTTATCCTAAACATACTGACGTTGTATTCTCCTAAGTCCTAACTAGCTGATCATTATCCATTTGGATACCAAGTGAATTCTAGTTGCTAAAATTGGCTAAATTACCTTGTCTTAGCAACTTCATGTGTATATTGCCTTTATAAAAAAAATTAAAAAAAAAAAGTTGTTCTTATAGGTCATTAATACGAATCTTAGAAAGTTAAAACCCAGCAATCTTGGGTGTACATTAGCCTTAGGTATTCCTACTCATTGATCAAAACAGTGTAGGTCACATTAGATAATATATCAATACAGCATATGTTGGCTTACTCGTATTTCATATGCGGTGTTGGCAATAGTATGGTAAATTCTTTCAAATTTATATTTATGTTCAAACTATATTGTTCCATTTATCAAATGCTTCACTTGTAACGCGTATCTGATCTCATTTTAGTAGTATAATATTCATTATTTCCGTTTCTATGTTACAGGAAATGTCACCTTGAACACTTGTTGCACCCGAGATCCAGATTACAAACCGAAAATGACCGTAAAAGACGAGTTTTTGCCTAGGCAAAATGGTGATCTGACAATCATGTATGATGTGACAAAGTCTTATGAAGGGAGCTACTGGGCTCAAGTTACTATGACTAACCATAATCAACTAGGCCGTCTGGATTATTGGAAGTTAAGCTGGAATTGGATGAATGATGAATTTATTAAAGACATGAAAGGTGCTTATCCTGATGTTGTTGATGCGAATGATTGTATGAATGGCCCCCAATCTGTGCAATACCAAGGCCTTGATTGGTCCACTGTGCTGAACTGTTATAGAAGGCCAACAATTGTTGATCTTCCTCCACAATACGCCAATGACACCACCCTTGGAAAGATACCAAATTGTTGTCGTAATGGTACAATTTTGCCACCAGGGATGGATGAAAGCAAATCTGTCTCTTCATTCCTGATCCAGGTTAATAAAATGCCTCCACAGATGAACCAATCTACTGTAGAGCCGCCTCAGAACTGGCAGATTAAAGGCATTCTCAACCCAACTTACACATGTGGGCCACCTGTGCGAGTCAGCCCAAGTGAGTTCCCAAGCGCAAATGGTCTACCAATAAATACGACTGTTTTTGCCAGTTGGCAAGTTGTTTGCAATATCACCAAGCCTAAGAACACCCCTCCTAAATGCTGTGTCTCATTCTCATCGTACTTCAATGACTCTATTGTCCCTTGCAAAACGTGTGCTTGTGGCTGTCCCAAAAACACTGGCAAGACCTGTAGCACAACTGCTCCGGCTATGTTTCTTCCTCCTGAGGCTCAGCTAATCCCATTTGATAACCGTACTAAGCTATCCGTTGCTTGGGCTCAATTAAACCACCGCCCCATACCAAACCCACTTCCGTGCTCTGATAATTGTGGTGTTAGCATCAACTGGCATCTATTCACAGATTTCAACAAAGGATGGAGTGCAAGAGTCACAATTTTCAACTGGGAAGAAACAGTCTTTGCTGACTGGTTTGTTGCTGCTGAAATGAAAAATGCTGCTGCTGGTTTTCAAAAGGCTTATTCATTTAATGGTACCGTTATGGGTGATGACAACACGACCATTTTCATGCAAGGTATTGAGGGATTGAACTATCTTATGGGAGAGACTAATGGCACCAAAATATCAGATCCGCGGGTTCCTGGTAAACAACAATCAGTTCTTTCCTTTACCAAGAAACCTACTCCAGGAATCAGAGTTGCAGAGCGAGATGGTTTCCCTACCAAATTTTACTTTAATGGAGAAGAATGCTCTCTTCCAAGCATTCTTCCTATCAACAGTGGGTATCGGAAGGGTCCGTTGACATTAATTCCCGTTCTTGTTGCGATTCTGGCTCTCATCTTTACCCAGTAATGACTGAAGAATGGGGGATTTGCTCAGATTTTTGTAGCTGCTGCTGCTTATTCTTTCATTCTTTTGTGATTAGGTCAACGTGTGCTGACTGTTGGCCTATGTGACTGAACTGCATCCACAGTTTAACTGCAGAATGCTGATAGTAGCAGGTTCGGTTGAAAGGAATATATGTGCAATGTTATTGATTGTTAGCTAATTAGATTACTGTAGTACATAAATATATTGATATACAAACATGTGAAACATATTGCTGTAATTCTATATTTTGGGTTTTTAATTTATCATTTCTTGATTTCTCACCTATTGTGAATGCCAGACTTTTAATGAGGTAATTACTACACATTCACAACCATTGTTTAATAACTTCTCCTTGGCAACGGTGTATATGTTTAGAGTCGTCAAAAGTTGACCCGATCCGAAATACCGACTCAAACTCGATTATTAATCGACCCATCTAAACCCGAAAAAATGGTGATCCAAACCCAACCTGAAACCAATCCTAGACCCGAGTTGACCCGAGTATGTGAGATCCGAACCCAAACATGAACTGACCTGAAGATGACCGACCTTACTGTAACCCGTAAATTATTGACCTTAACCAAACCCGACTTGAACCGAAATTGACCCACACCCGTTTTAACCTGTCAAAAATCGAATTTAACCCGACTTGTTACTAACCTAACCTGAATTTAACCCGATCCGTTCATAAACCGACCCGAATTTATCTCAACCTGTTACAAACCCGAATCGAAATCAACCCAACTTGTTATTGACCTGACCTAAATTCAACTCGAGTTGTTATTAACCCGACCCGAATTTTACCGGACCTATTACTAACCCAACCCAGAAATTCAACCCGATCTGTTACTAATCCGACTGGAAATCAATACGACTTGTTATTGACCCGACCTAAATTCAACCCAAATTGTTCATAACCCGATTTCAAATCACCTTAAATGCAATTTAGACCACTTTATTATTGTTGATCAAAGCATTTTGTCTAGGGAGACCAGTCCATACCAGCAAAAGAAAGGAGAATCATCCTATAGCCTACCACGAACATTTATAACAACAAATAATGATCATACTTGCAAACGACATTATATGACCCCGAGATATATCCCCTAAAATTTCAAGACTTTTCGACACTGTGCCCCGAGTCTTCCAAAATTTCTCAAAAAACGTGGATATTAGACTTCAATTTTGAAATTTTTTGACTTTTTTCGTCCAGATATAAAAATTGCCGAAATGCTTACCATGGTCTCAGATATCCTCCAAGAGTCCAATTGGATGGATGGAACCATCCAATTTGCCTTTAAACAACCAATTTACCGGTTTACAACTTACACCGATTTCATTAATGCAACCCTACCACGAACATTTATGACAACAAACAATGATCATAAATGGTTCCAAACGACATTTGTTGACCCCGAGATATATTCCCTAGAATTTCAAGATTTTTCGATACCGGGTCCTGAAAACTCCAAAAATTCTCAATAAGCGTGAATAGCCTTCAATTTTTGAATTTTTTTACTTCCGAAAATAATAATTGTCGAAATGTTTACCATGTTCTCTAATATCCTCCGGGAGTCCAAATGGGGGATGAAACCATCCAATTTGCCTTTAAACGACCTATTTACCAGTTTACAAATTGCACCAATTTCATTAACTCAAGCTTACCACGAATATTTATGATAGCATATAATGTTCATATATGGTTCCAAACGGCACTAAATAACCCCGATATATGTCCCCTAGAATTTAAAGACTTTTCGACATCGGGCTTCGAATCCTCCAAAATTTCCCAAAAAGTGTGGATATTAGCCTTCAATTATGAAATTATTCACTTTTTTTTCGCCCAGAAAAAAAAATTGTCGAAATGTTTACTATGGTCCCTAATACGGTCCGGGAGTCCCATTGGGGTGGGTGGAACCATCCAATTATCCATTAAACAACCAATTTACCGATTTACAACTTGCACTGATTTCATTAATTCAAGCCTACCACGAAAATTTATGAAAAAACATAATGATCATATATGGTTCCAAACAGCATTACATAACCCCAATATGTATCTCCTAAAATTTCAAGACTTTTCGACACCAGGCCCCGAAACCTCCAAAATTTATCAATAAGCATGAATATTAGTCTTCAATTTTGGAATTTTTTAACTTGTTTTCGCCCGGAAATAAAAATTGCTGAAAAGTTTACCATGGTCTCTAATATCCTCTGGGGGTCCAGTTGGGTTGGTGGAACCATCCAATTTTCCTCTAAACGGCCAATTAAATTACCGGTTTACAACTTGCACGGATTTCATTAACTTAAGCCTACAACGAACATTTATGTCAACATATAATGATAATATATGGTTCGAAACGACATTACATGACCCCGAGATATATTCCCTAAATTCTCAAAGTTTTTCGATATCGGGCTCCTAAACCTCCAAAATTTCTTAAAAAGCGTGGATATAAGCCTTTAATTTTGGAAATTTTAGGCTTTTATTCGCCCGGAAATAAAAATTGCCTAAATGTTCACCATGGTCCGTAATACCTTTCGGGAGTCCAAATGGGTGAGTGGAAACATCCAATTTGCCTTTAAACGACTCATTTACCGGTTTATTACTTGCATCGATTTAACTAACTCAACTTTACCACTAACATCTATCACAACATATAATGATCATATATGGTTCCAAACGGCATTAAATGTTTACCATGGTCTCAAATACCCTCCGAGAGTCCAATTGGGTGGATGGAACCATCCAATTTGCCTTTAAACGACCAATTTACTGATTTACAACTTACACCGATTTCTTTAATTAAACCCTACCACGAACATTTATGGTAACAAATAATGATCATATATGGCTCCAAACGACATTATATGACTTCGAAATGTATTCCCTAGAATTTCAAGACTTTTCGACACCGGGCCAAATAATCCAAATTTCTCAAAAAGCGTGGATATAGCCTTTAGTTTTTGAATTTTTTGACATTTTTTCGCCTGGAAATAAAAATTGCCGAAATATTTACTATGGGTTCTAATACCCTCTGGGAGTCCAATTGGATGGATGGAACCATCCAATTTGCCTTTATATGACCAATTTACCGGTTTACAACTTGCGCCGATTTCATTAACTCAAGCCTACCACAAACATCTATGACAACAAATAATGATCATATAGGGTTCCAAACAACATTATATGACCCCCAGATGTATCCCCTAAAATGTCAAGACATTTCGACACCGGTCCCCGAAATCTCCAAAATTTCTTAAAAAGCGTTGATATTAGTCTTCAATTTTGGAATTTTTTGACTTTTTTTTCGCTCAGAAATAAAAATTGCTGAAATGTTAACCATGGTCCCTAATATACCCCGGGGGTCCAATTAGGTTGGTGGAACCATCCAATTTTCCTTTAAACGGTCAATTTATTTATCGGTTTACAATTTGCACGGATTTCATTAACTCAAGCCTACTACAAACATTTATGACTACATCTAATGATCATATATGTTTTCAAACGGAATTATATGACCCCGAGATATATCCCATAAAATATTAATATTTTTCTACACCGGGCCCCGAAACCTACAAAATTTCTCAAAAAGCATAGATATTAGTCTTCAATTTTAAAAAATTTTGACCATTTTTCGCCCGAAAATAAAAATTGCCGAAATATTTACCACAGTCCCTAATATCCTTCGGGAGTACAATTGGGTGGGTGGAACCATCCAATTTTCCTTTAAACGACCAATTTACCAGTTTACAACTTATACCGATTTCATTAATTCAAGCCTACCACGAACATTTATGACAACAAATAATGATCATATAAGGTTCCGAAAGGCATTATATGACCCCAAGATCTATCCCATAGAATTTCAAGACGCTTTGTCACCGGTCCCTGAAACCTCCAAAATTTCTTAAAAAGCGTGGATATTAACCTTCAATTTTGGAATTTTTTGACTTTTTTCGCCAGAAAATAAAAATTGCCGAATTGTTTACCATGGTCCCTAATACACTCCGGGGTCCAATTGGGTTGGTGGAAACATCCAATTTTCCTTTAAATGGCCAATTTAATTATTGGTTTAAAATTTGCACAGATTTCATTAACTCAAGCATACTACGAACATTTATGACATATCTAATGATCATATATGGTTTCAAATGGCATTATATGAACCCGTGATATATCCTCTAAAATATTAATATTTTTCTACACCTGGCCCCGAAACCTACAAAATTTCTCAAAAAGCATAGATATTAGTCTTCAATTTTGAATTTTTTTTGACTTTTTTCGCCCAAAAATAAAAATTGTTGTAATATTTACCATGGTCCCTAATACTCTCCGGGAGTACAATTGGGTGGGTGGAACCATCCAATTTTCCTTTAAACGACCAATTTACCGGTTTACAACTTGCACCGATTTCATTAATTCAAGCCTACCACGAACATTTATGACAACAAATAATAATCATATATGGTTCTAAATGGCATTATATGACCCCGATATGTATCCCATAGAATTTCAAGACGTTTTGACACCGGTCCCTAAAGCCTTTAATTTTGGATTTTTTTTTTTTACTTTTTTTTCGCCCGAAAATAAAAATTGCCGAAATGTTTACTATGGTTCCTAATATCCTCCGGGAGTCCTTTTGGGTGTGTGGAACCATTCAATTTGCTTTTAAACGGTCAATTTACCGGTTTACAACTTGCACTGATTTATCGATTTACAATGGCCAATTTAATTAACTTGCACCGAATCCGACTTTAAGCGAAATTGACCTTAACCCGTTTTAACCCGTCAAAACCCAAATTTAATCCGACTTGTTACTAGCCTGACCTGAATTCAACCCGAACCGTTCCTAACCCGACCCGAATTTAACCCAACCTGTTAAAAACCCGACCCGAAATCAACCGACTTATTATTAACCTGACCCAAATACAACCCGACTTGTTATTGACCCGACCTGAATTTTACCAGACCTATTACTAACTTGACCCAGAAATTCAACCCGATCTGTTAGTAACCCGACTCGAAATCAACACGACTTGTTATTGTCTCGACCTAAATTCAACCCAAATTGTTCTTGACCCGATTTCAAATCACCTTAAATGCAATTTAGACCACCTTATTATTGTTGATCAAAACATTTTTTCTAGGGAGACCAAGTCAGTCCATGCCAGCAAAAGAAATGAGCATCATCCTCAAATTTAATTAAGAGTTAAATATGGTATATTTGTTGTATGGTCAAAGGGTATAATTATCTTCCTAAATGATAAACTATAGTTC